AATTTATATGCAGGGTGCGATGGATAAATTGTCGTGCAAATGATGCAAAAATGAAAATAAGACTGACATTTCATTTTAACAGATATATTTACCAAAAGTACACAAAATCTTGAAATACTAAAGAGTAAATTCAATAAAATCGCCGTTCGCTTCAATCACGGTCTCCAGACGACTTCGGAATCTCCTGCAACTCTTTTGGGCGGTCTCCTTGTCTATGTTGGCGAATGTTGGCCTCATCCTTGCCTTCAGTTCATCATTGGTGTTTTATTGGTCTCTCGCTCAATGCCGTGTTTCTCCCATTCACTCACACAGAAAGCACAGCGATAATCCGAATAGGTTACTTAACTGTTCCTACAACATTCCATTCACTTCTATTAGACAGATTCGCATGCCAACAATTTGTATCAGACAGATTCGCTAGCCAGCAATTTGCACTGGACAGATCTAGATGCTAGTGATCTCCACAACGCTCAACTGCACCCCACACATCAAGTGGGTTTTAGTCGGTTACTTAGGTGGCCAGATGTAAGGGGTGATGTGATCGCAGAAATTGTCTGACAGCCATGACTGGATTCTCCTGCTTGTATGGCATGGTGCAGAGTCCTGTTGCGAGATGTAGGGTCTTCCAGCAGCCACTTTCTTGATCCAGGGCAGCACTACCTCTCTTCAAGGCATTTGATGTAGGTCATTATGTTGAATCTGAGGCCCTCAACGCCAATTTCGAAAGTTATTTTCTTATCAGAACGATCATAGCCAGTTTTTCGAGCTGCCGTACCTTCGTAATCATCATTAGACTCATCCAAGTCTTTTCAAATCTTTTGCAGCCCTCAGGTTGACACCCAAATTCTCTGAAATGTTCGTATTGGAGCTTCCGGCGCGAATGCCAAGCAGTACAGTATGCTGTTTCCAAATTTCTGGCGGAGTGTATTGCGTCATGGTGCTCTTTTTCTCGCAGACTGTGAAATTTGAAAACGGCATACTGTACTGCTTGGCATTCGCACCGGAAGCTTCAATACGAACATTTCAGAGTGTTTAGATGTCAACCTGAGGACTGCAGAAGATTTGGAACTAATCCTTCTATACAGTGCAGTCAACAAAATAAAAAAAGAAACAACGCGCATGCGCGAAATTAAAAGTAGAATATGGCGACAATGCACCCATCGCAGATAATATATATATATATATATATATATATATATATATAACAATGTGGAAATAGTTTTTGTACGACACGTTTCGTCCTTTAGGACTTCCTCGGACAAAATTTATGTTTACGTTGATGCAACTACATATGCACACGAACGAGAGACACCCGGAATTTTAAATATAATGATTTTTTAATGTCTTTTGGGTATATAATCAATCCGATTTCATTTAGATTCTTTCTGTTTTTGTTTCCATTGAATATGAAATAGAATATTGGAGCTTAAAAATATTTAAGTCGGTTAATTAGGTGGCCAGATGTATTGGCCAGTCTAAATGCTTGGTCAATGAATATAAATATTGAGGGCTACATATTCTTAAGTAGAATGCAATGATAGTTGATTTTCAGTGGACACTAAATTTTACCACAGTAAATTTGCGTCCTGACTTTTACTATGTTTCGCCATTCTTGGCACATTAAAAAGTCATATTTAGATTTTAAAATTCCCAGCATCTCTCGTTCGTGCGAATGTGTAGTTACATGAACGTAAGCATAAACTTGATCCGATAAAATTCTAAAGGATGAATTGCGTCACACGAAAATTTTTTCACTTTGTTATATATATATATATATATATATATATATATATATATAATTTATTGTCTTGATGCCCCAACTGAAAAAAAGTCTTGTCACCGAAAAGGGAAGTTAACAAAGCTTTGTGTTTTAGAAAAAAAAGCAGGAAACTGTACATTAATAGGAACTTTAATGCCACCTTTACTATTTTTGAACGCCATCACGCCTTTGATGAGGAGAAGACATCACTCTTTGAAACAGAAGCCTCAAAAAACAATGGAGAGCTCTAGTTATCTTTTTGTTACTCAAAAAGTTACTCCGTCCTAAATACATGGTTTCACAACCCCATGAAACCCCGAATCAGTTGACATAACACGAATGCAGTAACAAAAAAATAATAGACTTCAGAATATCAGACTCTTGGCTTAGGAAATTTGTCACAGATGTCAGAGTTTATAATTCTTTCTTTGAATTTGATAACGGATATTTTGAGACAGAACTTACAACACCAGCCAACAAAATAGCTCGCTTCCGCTTATATAAAATACCAATGACACGTCGGCATAATATTTAAGCCCTAAAAAATGAAAATATAAATTTAGAATTTTGTAATAAAGTAAAATCCTAATTGATGTCCCTAAATCTCGACCATAACAACATAGAGGAATGAAATAATGTTATTTCATCTTCACACGAGACAGTTCCTAAAATGTCTAAACAAAAAAGATCCTCCTGTAGGATAACAACGCTAATTTGAAAAGATTGATACTAGAAAGAAAC